TGCCCCGCCTGGCTCTTGTCTCCAATCTCCTTGTGCTGCCCATCCAAAAGATCAAGAAGGTAGCTGGAGACAAACGTCTCAGCCTCTGTCTTCTTCAGGATGGGGCCTCCTCAGTTTGGGAAGAGTGCTGTCCCAGCCCCTTTTTGTCTGACAGCCAGTACAACGCCATCTTCCAGGCGGTGCTGGACAAGTCTCTGGACAAGTGTCTGGGTAAGAGATGAGTAGTCAGCGTCATGTGGTGTTGCTGATGTGAGGTGTGTATGATCACACATACCAAACCTTCAGCACCAGGACATTAGGAATTGTAGTGAGAAAAGTGGTTCTGCCTGCACTGTTCACTATTGATATGAAGTTGTCTGTTTTGGCTCTGCTTTAGAGCAGAAGACTATCAGTGCTTTTTGGCAGCTTGCCAGCCCTGTGTTACAGTGGATTTACAGTGTAAGCCCCTTTGAAGCCAATTAAAAATATTTTTCATGAAACAGAGTACCTCAGTAAACTTCTGCGGCGGTGGCTGTATGCCTGAATGTGTCCTGTGTGTGTGTATGTTTGCCGCAGACGATGCCAGGACTGTGCTGAGCGAGGTGGAACTCCTGCAGGCCAGCATCGATGAAGACAGTCAAAGGTGAGGAGGCGAGGACCCAGAGGTGTCTCGGTCCCGATCCAGTGTCAGCACAGCTGGGAAAAGCTGTTGAATTGACCCAGTTAAGCTGATAATGAACTGATTATGGTCTTTAAGAGCTGTGCTAGAATGAGGACCTATAGACTCACCAGTCCTCCGGGACCTGGAATACAGACCAATAAACTTTTATCACACTGTGACTAGAATTCTGCAAGGAGGTAATTTAATCATCAAACCTAAAACAGTCTTATTCTTTATTATGGTTAGTTGGTATGGCGCTGCAGAGTTTAGCATTGCAGCCTCACGGTGCTGGGGCCCTGCAATCAATTCCAGACCTGGGCTGCCGTCTGTGTGGAGTTTGTATGTTCCCCCCGTGTTCTCATGGGTTTCCTCCCACAGTCCAAAGAGATGCCGGTAGGTTAACTGGCCTCTGAGAAGACTGGAGTGGTATGAGTTTGTGTCTGTCTGCTCTGGATAGGCTCCGGCTCCCCCACGACCCTGAATCAGACAACAGGAGACTTTATTCAAGGCCACTTAGTGCAGTAAATTATAGAGTTACTTAACAAAAGGAACAGGGAAGAATGCGGCATACAAAATTACAGGTTAAGAAAAATGACAGCCCTTGCTGTGGTGGAATAATGATTCATTCCAGTTATCGATTAGAAATGTGTAAATACAATTTCTGCTTTACTGCAACTGTTGTTGGGGTCACACAGAGGTCAGGACAAACGCCCCGAGTACAGGGACAGCGATGTGAGACTGGCTCCTGGCCACAAGAAGAGACATGCTCAGCAAGGAAATGGGCAACGCAGAGGAGAGCTGCTGCACAGCCAGAAGAAGGAGCAGGAGGAGGAGGAAGGAGGGGAGGACAGCGATTCCAGTCAGGAGGACTGTGAGTTGAACTGTTGTCCATTTGAGTTGTTTCAAACTGGGGGGATGGGGCTTGTGCAGTGGCTAGGGCTGGGGGTTGAGAAAGTGAGACTATCCGGTGTTTCACTTCTTATTCCAAAACCAGCCTTACCCTTACGAACTGTAACCATTCTGTTCTGTATTTGTGCCTATTACCATGATTTTACCATGCCTACACCGAGAGTTTGCTCAAACATTCACGGCAATCTCACTGTGCTGTACAGTGTCGAACCCCACTCACCCCCCACTCATATCACTAGAAGCAGGAGCCAGACATCTGTCCCCTGGGATTGCGGCCCAGGTAGCCCACCTCTGTCACCATTCCCCTGCCTTTGCAGCAGTGCCTGGGGGCAGACGCCCAGGCCGTACAGCCAGGTGTCACCCCTTCAGCCTAGCGAGTGAAAGACAGTTCAGCCTGCATTTGCAGAATGCAAGGTTTGGCTGTCATTGCTGGACTCACCTGTGCCCTGCTGTGCGGATGCAGGGAGCTCATGGGTGCAGTGCAGCAGGCCCAGCTGTGGGAAGTGGAGGCAGCTGAACTCTGACGTCGACCTCTCCGCTCTGCCTGAAGACTGGACCTGCTCTCAAAACACAGGTACGGCAAAGGGGACCAGACGGCCCTCGGGGCCACACAGGGATCTTCCTGCTTTCCGATCTACCTCGATGACTTCACTGAACCAACGAGTGACTTGATGGGTCCTAATGCTCTTGCAGGGCGAGGTGATGCACTGGCAGCAGTGTTTGCCGCTCAGAGAGGAGCTGAGACAAGTCGTGAGAGCAGATAGCTGAGAGGGTGGCCTGGCGGAGCTAAACATTACTAATTTGTTCCACACACTGATCATCCCTCTATAAAGAGAGGTGTCTTAGAGCAGCTTATGATAAAAACTGAAATTTTGCCCAACTTCTTGTCCTATAACTCACCAGCAGGTGCTTCCAAGGAAAGACTGCTCCCGGAGCAGTCCCATGGAAGCAAGCCCAATTAGTGGGTTGTCAGGCTGGACAGGCCACAGCTGTGGCAGCTTAAAGATCTTTGCAAGGCCTCATACTGTCAGCCTGCCCTACCAGAACATGTCACGGGGTTTGCTTTACCAGGACTTTTTCACTCTGGCTCTGTGTTGCAGTGCTGAGCAGGTCTCGCGTGCTTCCCTCTCACTGTCTCTGTGTGCCGCAGGCCCAGCACACAAGAGCTGCAGCTGCCCTGAAGAAAGATGGGAGGAGGGCAGAAGAGAGGTCGTTAACAGCCTGGTTCCTGGCTCCATTGTGTGGGCTCGGCAGTTCGGCTACCCCTGGTAAGGAACTAAAAAGACACACAGACAGACATGTACAGACATTACCTGGTAAGGAGCTAGAAAGACACACAGACAGACATGTACAGACATTATCCCTGATAAGGAGCTAGAAAGACATAGAC